CTTCGATCAACAAGTTTGAATTAGGAACTGCTATGCCTGAATTTTGAGGTTTTTTTACCTGTCCGTTTAACCCATGTTTCAGATAAAATGTCATTCAGGTTAAAAATCCCAATTAAAGTTAAAGAAAATTTGCGAGTTCCTTTCTTTGGAACATTTCCAATTTTGCAAAATGGCGTATCACTGGAATTATAACACAGTTACAAATTCACAATCGAATCTAAAATAGATATATTCTGAAATTTTTACAAGCCGTTGCAAAAGCTAAAGGACTTTGTCTATATCTTTTCATGCAAGCTAATTGAATAATCATGAGAGTCGTGTCATTCGAAATGCAGTAGCTTATTTGGTAAAAGCATCTGCAGATATTTTAACGGATTTATTATTATATATTCATTTTAATATCGAAGTTTGTTTAGATTAAATTTATATTTAGGAATATACATAGCTTATACTGTTAAATATGTATTGCAAAACTCCCGCCTACTCTCTAAAGTTGTAGAAATTTCTCGAGAGTTAGAATCAACAATATATGTATGTATGTATGTAAATGATTAATGTAGCTTTGTATTGCTGCATAATCTGAATTTTCTAGAAACTCTCCACACGCCTATAAATACAACCAACGCGCCGCGCCAAAAAGAAGTATCTATTATTAGTTTGCTATAGTCAGTGTGCTGTAAACTTCGGAAGCTATAACTGTGAATATTATAACGCTTATCAATCGGAAAACTTCAGATATTTGACCAGGAGCATTTACAAAGCTCGAACATTACAAACCATTTACTTTAGTGAATTCTCATAGGACATTAGTATTTTACAAAAACATTATATAACTTCACGGTGGAAAACTCGGCGTGTGTGGCTGGTGAATAACGAAGGACATATCTAGCTACCTTTACGTTAAGTGAATTGTACCCATACCAACTCGTAATTAACTCGCTCATCGTCAACCCTCGATAAGATATCAAGGAAGTTACAGACTAGAAAGAAAACTTTATATTGCTTGTAAGTTTGTAAACTTTTTGTATATAAATCATTGTTTGAAATAACTATTTGTAATAACTGTTATTGTAAATTGTATGGTTGTTTGCATATTAAAACATATTTATATCTCGTTGGCAAATATCATTAATTGGAGATATATCGGTATATATTTAACTACTAAATTTACATTTCCAGTTAACTCAGTTTCAGACTTTTCGAAATTGTAATACGTAACAATATGCATGTTAAAATCCCTCTAGGGCCATAACATTGTAATATACTAAAACATCTTTAATACTCATTTGCGTTACTTCTTATCAATAAAATATTAAACATAAGATATAGACATAAAAAACCGTTCTCACATGTTAAATTTCTTAAACAAATACACAAGTTAACAATATAATTTGCATACCAAAATCTAAAGGAAATAAAATACGTTTGCTTCTCTTCACGTTAGAATCGATTTACCTCCTCAGGCAGCTAGCTGATCATTCCACGAAACGAGTGGCATTGTTGGTCAATAAGCTCGTTGGTGTTTGCAGTTCAGAAGTTTTCAGCGGCACTGAGCATGCGTTAAATTTGAGGAATATTACGCACATGCGTTGCAAGAAAGTTTCCTTCATTCCTTCAATCGAAGAAGAAGCCACACTTCGTGAAGACGTTCGTATAGCTGAAACCTAAGGAAGGTACATACTTGCATCAAGACAACCAGAAACAATGAGCAGCACACAGTCCCACGAAAGTCCTTCCCTAAATGACACTTTTCTAAACAACAGCGAGATTCTTTTGGTTGCATTCACTAATTCTTCTCTTCCACCAGAAGCTTCAATAGAGATTTACGATGTCCCTGTTGCCATAATAATTTTGCTGTCTTTCTGTTATGGAACAGTATCCCTCGTAGCCGTGATTGGTAACTTCTGTGTCCTGTGGATTGTCGCCACAAGCCGCCGGATGCAGACAGTCACCAACTTTTTCATCGCTAATTTAGCCTGTGCTGATATCATTATCGGTCTTTTCTCTATCCCGTTTCAGTTTCAAGCTGCTCTACTTCAGCGCTGGGTTTTACCCAACTTTATGTGCGCCTTCTGTCCGTTTGTTCAGGTTCTGTCAGTCAACGTGAGTATTTTCACTCTGACAGCCATCGCCCTTGACCGCTACCGGGCCGTCGTATTTCCACTAAAGGTTCGAACCTCGAAATTTAGGGCCAAACTGATCATCGCAGGCATCTGGGCATTTGGAGGAGCAACTGGCATCCCCTACGCCCTTGCTCTGCGTGTTAGTCAGGTGTACGACCCAACAACAAACAATTACACAAAACCTTTTTGTGACAACATAGAATTCTCACCAACAGCATGGAAGACCTACAAGCATGTCTTGGTTTGTATTCAATACTTTGTCCCTCTTTTCATTATTAGCTTCGCCTATAGTAGAATGGGACTCAAACTCAAAGATGGCCAAGTTCCTGGAAATTCTCATGGACCAAGAGACCGCGGCATCATTAAAAACAAGAAAAAGGTGAGTATTTTACTATTCCGTATACTGAATGTTATTTGTATAAAAAACAGTTTATTGAAGCCGTTTGTTTGTACTTGGGTCTTCTTTTAATATAAAAGGAAAATGTAAACTAATACAATCATTTAGTTATCTTACCACTTCTGTACTTTTGTAAATGGATAATATATCGACACAGAACGAATTATTCAAACGTTATACAACTCTCACGGAACTTATTTTCTGTGTTTACGCAGCTTCCTCAGCAAAAAATACCATATTAATCTACCCATGAAGGATAATGTCGGATCGAGCGTTGGAATAAACGATGTTGTGTTTTACTATAAAACTTGAAGTACTTTTTCACAAAGGGTTAGATAAATACTATTTTGCTATGAAACTTGAAGTATTTTTTTCAGAAAGGGTTAGATAAATATTGCTGTAATATGAAACTTGAAGTCCTTTTTCACAAAGGGTTAGATAAATACTGTTTTACTATGAAATATGAAGTCCTTTTTCACAAAGGGTTAGATAAATACTGTTTTACTATGAAATATGAAGTCCTTTTTCACAAAGGGTTAGATGAATACTCTTTAAGATATGCTTAATACTGTTTTACTATGAAATTTGAAGTACTTTTTCACAAAGGCTTAGATCAATACTATTTTACTGTGAAATTTGAAGTACTTTTTCACAAAGGGTTAGATAAATACTGTTTTACTATGAAACTTGAAGTACTTTTACACAAAGAGTTAGATAAATATTGTTTTATTATGAAACTTGAAATCCTTTTTTACAAAGAGTTAGATAAATACTGTTTTACTATGAAACTTGAAGTACTTTTTCACAAAGGATTAAATAAATACTCTTTAAGATATACTTAATATCTTGAAAGGAAAAATATTGCTTCCTTCGATTGAATTCCTGTATAGGATCATCCTTTACTTTAGCTCTTTGCAGAAATTTTCAAAACCAGAGTTTTCCCTTCGTGAGAATAAGGTCAAAAGCGTCTTCAACTTTCTGTATATAGCACATCTTTTTCTTTGAATAGTTTTTTCTCATATTCAAACCATACAAACTTTTAAAAGAGTGGCGCTTTTACTCTATAACATTTTTTTTATATTAAATCTTGACAAGTCCTAATGGTTAAGTGTTCTACTCGCAATCTACGGGTAGTAAAACAGAAGTGTTTGTGTATATTTTCTTATAGCAAAGCCACATCGGCCTATCTGCTGTGTCCACCGAGGGGAATCTAACCCCTGGTTTTAGCATTGTAAATCCGGATACTTACAGCTGTCCTACCGGAGGACAGTAAGACAGAAAAGAGTATCCGAAGAGTTAGTAATGGGTACTGCTGGATGAATTTTAGCCTTCTCTGTTGTCAGCAGTTACAAATTAGGGATGGTGACAGACAACCTTATTAGCTTTTCCACAAACAAACGGAGTTTCATTTAATTAAAAAGGCCCTAAATTAATCTGTCTTAGCTTTTCCGGCCGTTTTAATTTTCTGCAGAGGTGTTGGATTGTTACTTTGGGATATTGTCTATCTTTGATTTCTGTGTTACAGGGTTGAAGTGACACTGAAGTAATTATAGAACTATAGTGAACCCAACATTATGAAAGTAAATGCGTAAAAATACGTTGAAAATATTTTGTATATAAACGACTTTTAAGGGAAACTTGGTGAAGTTTGAGTCTCCCTGATTAAATAAATAAGAGGGAATCCTCAATAGCCGCGGCTGTAATAAGATCTCAAATGGGCCAAGAGATGGAGCTATGAGATAAAAGTTTGTACTTGAAAAACAAGAGGGAATCTTCAATTGCCGCAGCTATAATATGATCTCAAATGGGTCAAGAGATGGCGCTATGAGCGAAAAGTTTGTACTTGAAAAAAAACTGAGAGCCATTCTATAAACCGCTATGCCGCAGCTAAAAATCAACCAAAATCTTTGGTTGTTATGCTTTATTGTACGAGAAAGTGAAAAAAAGAAATATAATGCGCTTTAGACTTCAAATCCTGTGGTAGTGTTCTGAATTTTGGAGTTGAAAAGCCAGATTCGAATCCATGCGATGCCACATCATATTCCTCGCACTTTAAGCTCTGGGTGTGCTATAAAATTGACTGTAAGTCTCTTAACGTGGATGCTGCTGACTGGCTGCCTTCCCTCTGGTCAATAGCTTTAAATTAGGGACGGCAGCAGATAGCTTTAGTGGCTTTGCCATAAATAAAAAACACAACACAATACTAAAACATATAGAGAAATATGAGATTAGTCCTTTAACTTTTTTAAAATTTATTGTTTATTTGTTTTGAATTGCGTGCAAAGCCACACTCGGGCTATCTGCGCTAGCCGTACCTAATTTAGGGAGTTAAGACTAGAGGGGAAGACAGCTAGTCATCACCTCCCACCGCCAACTCTTGGGCTACTCTTTTACCAACGAATAGTGATGTTGACCGTCACATTATAACTCCCCCACAGTTCGAAGGGTGAGCATGTTTGGCCGGACAGGGACTCGAACCCGCGACCCTCCTAACCAATGGCCACGTCGGGCCAATTGATTATTTGCTATTTTATATAATATTACTATATGACATAGAAATATAATTTTTTTTTAGGAAATAAAGATCTTTACTGTTGAGTGTGTGAGTAATAACATGAGAAATAATGACTCGCAGTCTATTCATGGCTTAACTGATCAGTAATTAATTATAGTTAAAGTTCTTGTGAAATAATCATTACGCCATGTATGTAAAAGTTTCTTTACGTAGATTCTTGGTAAATAATCGTCGCCTATGCTGGTGCATGCTGTTCATATACATAGTGAGATACATGGTGATGAAATTAAAACTAATCAACCTGCAGGTATTGTAAATTTATTATTATTTTAATTTGCTTTCATGACGACATGAATGTAAAATTATATTTCCAACAGAACAACAAAGAAAATGTAAAAAAAACTTGTGATTATTTTGGTGTCTCCTCCTCACCAAAGGTATAGCATTGTTCAAAATCAAATATTTTTTGGTTATTCATTACAACGGAAAATACAATTAAATGCAATTTTGCATAACTAATGAAATAGCGTAATTTAGTATCTTGTCTCTTTCAGTTCTGTATCTCCTGAACGATTTACGTTATAAATGATAGCATAATTATAGTATTTTTTCAGCAGTTAGGAACACAATATGGCTGAGAAAACGTAGGCTATGGAATAATAAGTTTTTTATATTCAACCAGCTGTAATCAAGTAGCTATTACATTTACAAGCCAAAAAGAAAAGAACAGTTAGGTTGAGACAGCTTCGTTGTAATATAAGCTAAAAACAGTAAAACAATGGAGATTACAGAGTGTGGATACTCCAAACAAAGATTTTTTTTTCACTGAGGCTGGTTTGTGTTTAAACTCTGTTCCTGGTTAGTAATAGTTAACAATTATATGTTAACATTAGCTGGATTTGCCCGCTTGTTCGAGGCTTTACAATACAATGGGGTTCTATACGTTAACAATTGTTGCATCTCCGGAATTTTACCATTCTCGCTCCTCTTTCTCTTCAACTAATGACCAAAAGCAGCATGAGTCTCCATAAAAACCACATCTACCAGAAATCCGTAAACTCCAACTCTATGGTCACACCTTTAACGGATAGTATAACAGTTTCCTCAATTTCATTAATACGACGAATTTTCGCACTCCTTCTCCAAACAAACATAGATCACTTAGGGTGGTAAGAAAAAATAATCTATCTATCTACAAACCATACAGCATTTACTTAGCAATATCTAATTATTACTGTGAGTTGATCCTTTTCACACAAAGCAAGTTTGCACATTTTAAAGTGTGAAACGCCTTATCTAGCGAAGTATGGCAGCAGTGATGTGTGAGTATGGTACTACATTAGCCTTATAATTATGTAATATCGTGCGCAATCTAAATATTATTTTAAATTCTGAAGCAAATATATAACGTTGAAGCATTTTTGTGTAAAGTCATTTAAAAGTTGAAGACAATTATCTACTGAATTAACATTAGTTTCATTAAATCTACATTAGTTTAATTAATTTAATGGGCAAATCTACCATATTTTCTCCAGATTCTAACGTTCACTCGATGTACAACAAATAGGAGTGAGGGTTAGAGACTTAATTGCAATTTAGAAATGTTCTGAAAGCGAAAGTGTATATGTGAATGTTACGTTTGTCTCTTAGTTCAGTAAACTGATAATAATGATATATGAGTGTCAGAATTACATTACTTGGAAACGAATAAGAAATTATTAGTTTGAGTGACAAAAGATTAAGGCATATGTACCTACGTATAGCCGAATACTGTTGCATAAAACCATTGCTCTAAAAGTAGCAGCGTAATTATCTTTAAATAATAATATTATTATTTCTACAAATCTTAATTTTCACAGCAACTTGGCACAATTAAGGACAAGATAATAAGTCACTTAGATACTTTCTTTCTATATTAAATATTTCAAAAATTAAGTCTGTTTATTTTATTACTGGTATCAGAATATTTGCATCTGAAACAAACATTTGTTTATTATTTTAGATTAATTTTCTAACATACGTTTCAGCTCTCTGATTTCAGCTGCTACGCTTTCAGTCTTGCTTCATATTTAAGCTATGGTATTTAAATATATATGAATCATTTCCCGGATTCCCTTTTGCTTCTTAGTTTAATGAATGATTTACGAAAAATGATGACGTATCCATAATAAAATGTTTTCAATTCGATAAAATAATCATTTCTACCCATCTTTATATCGATATTATCCTTTCTAATGCGATTAAGTTCCATAAAATACTACGTGGTATATTGTAAGATGCGAGATATGAAAGCAACTAAAATACGAAAGAATCAATACTTAGACAGGCATATTGAAATATATTTTATTACGCAGGTAAGCTGGTTTCTTTAGGCAAAACTTTCAGCTTTTAAAAAAAATACTTTTAATATTGTATGGTTATCTTATCATGCCACCTATTTTATTTCAAAAAAATAGCTATTACTTAT